AATGTCCCCAACATCCCCAACGTCCCCGATGTCCCCCCAGGCGAGTTCGAGTCCCCCGGGGGGGTCCCGTTCCTGGCGGCCGAGCTCCCGTACGCGGGGGGGGAGGTGGCGCTGCTGCTGCTGGCGCCCCTGGGGCGCCGCGTCCCCATTGTCACCCTGGTGCCACTGCTGGACGCCCGCGGCGTCACCGCATGGGTGGCACAGCTGCGAACGGCCACGCGCGAGCTGGCGCTGCCTCGGTGAGAGCGGGGGCACAGCGGGGGACACATTGGGGGGATTGGGGGCAATGGGGACAATGGGGACAGTGGGGACAATGGGGACAATGGGGACAATGGGGGGATTGGAGACAGTGGTGGGACATTGGGGGGATTGGGGGCAATGGGGACAGTGGGGACAGTGGGGACAATGAGGGGATTGGGGGGATTGGGGACAATGGGGACATTGGGGGCAATGGGGGGATTGGGGGCAATGGGGACAATGGGGGACATTGGGGACAGTGGGGGGATTGGGGGGATGGGGGACATTGGGGGGATTGGGGACACTCTGGGGACAATGGGGGCACTGGGGGGACACTGGGGATAATGGGGACAATGGGGGGGATTGGGGACATTGGGGACATTGGGGAGAATGGGGGGATTGGAAGGATTTGGGACATTGGGGGGATTGGGGACAATGGGGACAATGGGGACAATGGGGGGACATTGGGGACAATGGGGACAATGGGGTCAATGGGGACATTGGGGGGATTGGGGACATTGGGGGGATTGGGGGGACTGGGGACAATGGGGACACTGGGGACATTGGGGACAATGGAGGCATTGGGGGGATTGGGGGCATTGGGGACATTGGGGGGACATTGGGGACAATGAGGGGACATTGGGGACAATGGAGGCATTGGGGGGATTGGGGGCAATGGGGACAATGGGGGACATTGGGGACATTGGGGACATTGGAAGGATTGGGGACACTGGGGGGATTGGGAGGACTGGGGACATTGGGGACAGTGGGGGGATTGGGGGGATTGGGGACAGTGGGGGGACATTGGGGGATTGGGGACACTCTGGGGACAATGGGGGCACTGGGGGGACATTGGGGATAATGGGGACAATGGGGGGGATTGGGGACATTGGGGGGATTGGGGGCAATGGGGACAATGGGGTCAATGGGGGGATTGGGAGGATTGGGGACATTGGGGACACTGGGGACACTGGGGGCACTTGGGGACACTGGGGGGACATTGGGGATAATAGGGGCAATGGGGGGATTGGGGGCATTGGGGACATTGGGGGGACATTGGGGACAATGGGGGGACATTGGGGACAATGGGGGGATTGGGAGGATTGGGGACAGTGGGGACACTGGGGACAATGGGGACATTGGGGACATTGGGGAAAAAATGGGGAAATTTGGGGGGGAAAATGGGGGGAAATTGGGAAAAATGAGATTTGGGGACATTGCAGGGACTTTGGGGGACACTGGGGACACTTTGAGGACACACTGGGGACATTTTGGGGACACTTTGGGGACACTCTGGGGACATTTTGGGGACACTTTGGGGACACTCTGGGGGCTTCGGGGACATCAGGGACACTTTGGGGACATTGGGGACATTGGGGACACTCTGGGGACACTCTGGGGACATTTTGGGGACACTCTGGGGACACTTTGGGGACACTTTTGGGACATTGCCGCCCCCGTTCCAGCTTCTCCCTGGAGAGCTCCTGGGACCTCCGGGGTCCCCTCAAGGCTTTGGGGATCCTCGACCTCTTCGAGCCCGAGCGCGCCGACTTCTCCCCCATGACAGGTGAGGCCCCCAATGTCCCCAAATGTCCCCAATTGTCCCCAAAATGTCCCCAAAATGTCCCCAAATGTCCCCAATGTTCCCCAGTGTCCCCAATGCCCCAGTGTCCCCAAAATGTCCCCAATCCCCCAATGTCCCCAATGTCCCCAAATGACCCAAACGTTCCCAATGTCCCAAATGTTCCCCAATGTCCCCCATTGTCCCCAAATGTCCCCAAATGTCCCCAATGTCCCCAAATCCCCCAATGTCCCCAAATGTCCCCAACGCCCCCAAATGTCCTCAAATGTCCCCAATGTCCCCAAAATGTCTCCAAATGTCCCCAAATCCCCCAAATGTCCCCAATGTCCCCAAATCCCCCAAATGTCCCCAACCTCCCCAATGTCCCCAAATGTCCCCAATGTCCCCAATGTCCCCAAATGTCCCCAATGCCCCCCTCAATGTCCCAAATGTCCCCCAATGTCCCCCATTGTCCCCAAATGTCCTCAAATGTTCCCAAATGTCCCCATTGTCCCCAATGCCCCAATGTCCCCAAATGTCCCCAAATGTCCCCAATGCCCCCCCAATGTCCCAAATGTCCCCAATGTCCCCAACCTCCCCAATGTCCCCAAAATGTCCCCAATCCCCCAATGTCCCCAAATGTCCCCAATGTTCCCCAATGTCCCCCAATGTCCCCAATGTCCCCAAATCCCCCAAATGTCCCCAATGTCCCCAATGTCCCCAAATGTCCCCAATGTCCCCAATGTCCCCAATGCCCCCAAATGTCCCCAATGTCCCCAATGTCCCCCAATGTCCCCCAATGTCCCCAAATGACCCAAACGTTCCCAATGTCCCCAATGTCCCCAATGTCCCCAATCCCCCAATGTCCCCAAAATGTCCCCAAAATGTCCCCAATGTCCCCCAAGTGTCCCCAATGTCCCCCAATGTCCCCAACGCCCCCAAATGTCCTCAAATGTCCCCAATGTCCCCAAATGTCCCCAAATGTCCCCAATCCCCCAATGTCCTCAAATGTCCCCAATGCCCCCAAATGACCCCAAATGTCCCCAATGTCCCCCCCAATGTCCCCAAATGTCCCCAAATCCCCCAAATGTCCCCAAATCCCCCAAATGCCCCCAACCTCCCCAATGTCCCCAAATGTCCCCAATGTCCCCAAATCCCCCAAATGTCCCCAACCTCCCCAATGTCCCCCAATGTCCCCAATGTCCCCAAATGTCCCCAATGTCCCCCAGGTGAGGAGCAGTTGGTTCTGGGCCCGGTGCTGCAGAAGGTTCGGATGGAGGTGACCGAAAACGGCACCGAGGCGGCCTCGGCCTCAGGTTTGGGGCATTTTGGGGCATTTTGGGGCATTTTGGGGCATTTTGGGGAATTTTGGGGGCTTTGGAGGGTTTGGGAGTTTGGGGAATTTTGGGGGGAATTTGGAGGTTTGAGGGGATTTTGGGGTTTGGGGAGATTTGGGAGGTTTGGGGAGATTTGGGGATTTTGGGGGTTTTGGGGATTTTGGGGGATTTTGGGGAGTTTGGGGATTTGGGGGCATTTGGGAGAATTTTGGGAGGGGGTTTGAGGGATTTGGGGGATTTTAGGGAATTTTGGGGGGAATTTTGGGGGGAATTAGGGGGGTTTTAAGGGTTTTGTGGGATTTGGGGGATTTAGAGGAATTTTAGGGGGATTTTGGGGGGAATTCTGGATGGAATTTTGGGGGGAATTTTGGAGGAATTTTGGGGGAATTTTGGGGGAATTTTGGGGGGAATTTTGGGGGGAATTTTGGAGGAATTCTGGGGGGAATTTTGGGGGGATTTTTGGGGGATTTTGGGGGGAATTTTGGAGTAATTTGGATGGAATTTTGGGGGGAATTTTGGAGGAATTTTGGGGGGAATTTTGGAGGGATTTTGGGTGGAATTTTGGGGGGATTTTGGGGGGAATTTTGGGGGGAATTTTGGATGGAATTTTGGGGGAATTTTAGGAGGAATTTTGGAGGAATTTGGAGGAATTTTGGGGGGAATTTAGGACGATTTCGGGGTTTTGCAGGATTTGGGGGTTTTGGGGAGATTTTGGGGTTTTTTTGGGGGGGTCTCACTGTGTGCCCCCCCTCCCCTCCCGCAGCTGCTGTGGTTTATTCCCGCATGGCCCCCCCCGAAATCATCTTGGACCGACCCTTCCTCTTCCTCATCCGCCACCGCCCCCACAGGTTTGGGCATTTTGGGGCATTTTGGGGCATTTTGGGGGATTTGGGGGCAATTTGGGGTTCTGGGGGGATCTGGGGGATTTTGGGGTTTGGGGGAGTTTGGGGGTTTGGGGGGAATTTTGGGGGATTTTGGAGGGATTTGAGGTTTTTGGAGATTTTGGGGATTTTGGGGGTTTGGGAGAGTTTGGGAGGATTTTGAGGGATTTGGGGAGATTGGAGGAGATTTGGGGGATTAAGGGATTTTGGGGAATTTTGGGGGGATTTTGGGGGGATTTGAGGGCTTTTGGGGGATTTTGCAGAATTTTGGGAGTTTTGGGGATTTTGGGGGTGTCTCGGGTGCCCCTGACCCCCCTTTCTCCCCCCATAGGCGCCGTTCTCTTCGTGGGGCAGGTGACGGAGCCCCTGAACACCCCGAAATTGGGGACACCTAAAAAATTGGGGTCCTGTGGGGCCTGTGGGAGCTGTAATTTATCGTTGAGAGTTTAATATATAAAATATATAGAATGTAATAAATTTATGAAATATATAAAATATAATAAATTTATGAAATTTATAAAATATAATAAATTTATGAAATTTATTAAATCTGTAAAATTTATTGGTGGTCATCCCAAACCCCGGCCGCGGGGTCCCTCCTGTGCTGGGGTTGTTCCAGTCCAACCCCAGAACCCCAAATTTCCCCTTTTTCCCCCCAAATCCTCCTCCGTTACCATAGCAACGCCTCCATAGCAACCGTTACCCGCCAGCGCCGCGTTGCCAAGGCAACAGCCCCGCCCCCTTCGCCTTAAACCACGCCCCTTCCCCGTTACCACGGCAACGCCCGCCCTGCGGCGGGAAGCGCGCCCCGGTTACCGTGGCGACAAGCCCCGCCCACTCCCCGTTGCTATGGAAACCCCCCGCCCTATCAGCGGTCAGCCGCTCCCTAAACCACGCCCCTTGGACGGTCGCTATGGCGACACGCCGCGCCCCGGCGCATGCGCGGTGACGTCACACCCGGAAGCGGCGGGCCCGGCGCGGCGCTGCCGGAGGCGCGGAGCGGCCCCGTCCGACCCCCCCCGACCCCCGGGACCCCTCCGGGACCCCCTCCCGGACCCCCCCCCGACCCCTCCCCGACCCCTCCCCGAGCCCCCGGGCCCGGCTTCGGCCGCGGCCCCTCCCCCCCCGGGACCCGGCGCTATGGTGAGCAAGGGGGGAGGGGCGGCGGCGGTCACGTGGTTGGGGAGGGGGCGGTCACGTGGGAGGGGAGGATTGAGGGGGGGTGACCTCGGTGGTGGGGGTGACCTTTGACCTTTGGGCACGTGACCCCCGGGGTTCCCCACGGTGGGGGGGGGAAGGGGCCGAGATTTTCCCGGGGTTCGATCCCACGTGACCTCACCCCTCCCCCCCACCCCTTGCCGGTGGCACGTGACTGTGAAGACCCCTCCCCCCAACCCCAAAGTCCCCCGAAATCTCCCCAAAATCCATCCCCGGAGCCCAAATCCCTCCAAAATACCCCTAAAATCCTTCCCCCAGCCCCAAAATCCTCCCAAATCTCCCCAAAATCCATCCCCGGACCCCAAATCCCCCCAAAACTCCCCCAAATCCCATCCCAGTCCCTCCCAGTGACCTCAAATCTCCCAAACTCCCCCAGACTCCCCCAATCCCCTCCCAGTTGCTCCCAGTCCGTCCCAGTGCCCCCAAATCCCCCCAAATCCCCCCCAAACCCCTCCCAGCTCCCTCCCAGTTCCTCCCAGCCCCTCCAGTGACCCCAAACTCCCCAAAACTCCCCCAAATCCCTCCAAAAAAAGCCCCCGAATCTCCCCAAAACCCCCTCCCAGTCCCTCCCAGTTCATTCCCAGTCCCTCCCAGTGCCTCCCAGTGACCCCAAACTTCCCAAAATCCCCCCAAAACTCCTCAAAATCCGCCCCAAACCCCCTCCCAGTCGCTCCCAGTCTCTCCAGTCCCTCCCAGTACCCCCAAATCCCCACAAAATGTCACAACCCCCCCCAAATCTCCCCCAATCCCCTCCCAGTTGCTCCCAGCTCCCTTCCAGTCCCTCCCAGTTACTCCAGTGACCCCAAACCTCCCAAAATCCCCCCAAAACTCCTCAAACCCCCTCCCAGTCCATCCCAGTTCCCTCCCAGTTGCTCCCAGTCCCCCCCAGTTCCCCCCCAGTTCCCCCCCAGTCCCTCCCAGTCCCTCCCAGTGCCTCCCAGTGCCCCCAAATCCTCCCCAAATGTCACAAAACCCCCCCAGATCCCCCCCAAACCCCCTCCCAGTCCCCCCCAGATCCCTCCCAGTTGCTCCCAGTTCCCTCCCAGTGCCTCCCAGTCCCTCCCAGTTCCCTCCCAGTCCCTCCCAGTTGCTCCCAGTGCCCCCAAATCCCCCCCAAAATGTCACAAACCCCCCCAGATCCCCCCCAAACCCCCTCCCAGTTGCTCCCAGCTCCCTTCCAGTCCCTCCCAGTCCCTCCCAGTCCCCCCCAGTCCCTCCCAGTTCCCTCCCAGTCCATCCCAGTCCCTTCCAGTTCCCCCCAGTCCCTCCCAGTGACTCCCAGTGCCCCCAAATCCCCCCAAAATGTCACAAACCCCCCCAGATCCCCCCCAAACCCCCTCCCAGTCCCCCCCAGTTCCCTCCCAGTTGCTCCCAGCTCCCTTCCAGTCCCTCCCAGTTCCCTCCCAGTCCCTCCCAGTCCCTCCCAGCCCCTCCCAGTGCCCCCAAATCCCCCCCAAATGTCACAAACCCCCCCCAGATCCCCCCCAAACCCCCTCCCAGTCCCCCCCAGTTCCCTCCCAGTCCCTCCCAGTCCATCCCAGTCCCTCCCAGTTGCTCCCAGTTCCCTCCCAGTCCCTCCCAGTCCCCCCCAGTTCCCTCCCAGTCCATCCCAGTTCCCTCCCAGTCCCCCCCAGTTCCCTCCCAGTCCCTCCCAGTCCCTCCCAGTTCCCTCCCAGTCCCTCCCAGTCCATCCCAGTCCCTCCCAGTCCCTCCCAGTTCCCTCCCAGTCCCTCCCAGTCCCTCCCAGTTCCCTCCCAGTCCCCCCCAGTCCCTCCCAGTCCCTCCCAGTTCCCTCCCAGTCCCTCCCAGTTCCTCCCAGTGACCCCCAGCCCCCCCAGATGCGGTTCATGCTGCTGTTCAGCCGCCAAGGGAAGCTGAGGCTGCAGAAGTGGTACCTGGCCACGGCCGACAAGGACAAGAAGAAGATGGTGCGGGAGCTGATGCAGGTGGTGCTGGCCAGGAAGCCCAAGATGTGCAGCTTCCTCGAGTGGAGGGACCTCAAGGTGGTCTACAAGAGGTAAAAAAACCAAAAAAAACACCCAAAAGAATGGTCAAAAGTGAGGTTTGGTCACCAAAAATAAAATGGAAATGTTGAGGGAAAATCGGGAAAAAAAAACCCCAAAAGTGAGGTTTGGTCACCAAAAATAAAATGGAAATATTGAGGGAAAATTGGGAAAAAAAAACCCCAAAAGTGAGGTTTGGTCACCAAAAATAAAATGGAAGAGTTGAGGGAAAATCGGGAAAAAAATAAACTAAAAGAATGGTCAAAAGTGAGGTTTGGTCACCAAAAATAAAATGGAAATGTTGAGGGAAAATCGGAAAAAAAAACCCCAATAGTGAGGTTTGGTCACCAAAAATAAAATGGAAATGTTGAGGGAAAATTGGAAAAAAAAACCAACAAAAGAATGGTCAAAAGTGAGGTTTGGTCACCAAAAATAAAATGAAAAAGTTGAGGGAAAATTGGGAAAAAAATAAACAGAATGGTGAAAAGTGAGGTTTGGCCACCAAAAATAAAATTAAAAAGTTGGGGGAAAATCGGAAAAAAAACCAACCCCGGGTTTTGCGGCAAAAAAAAGGAATTTCAGAGCAAGAGATTGCGGGGTTGGCCATGGTTGGGTTGACCATGGTTGGGTTGACCATGATGAGTTGGTCATGATGGGTTGACCATGGTCAGTTGGTCATGGTTGGGTTGACCGTGATAGATTGACCTTCATGAGCTGACCATGGTTGGGTTGATCTTCATGAGTTGACCATGATCAGTTGACCATAGTTGGGTTGACCATGGTCGGGTTGACCTTCATGACCGTGGTTGACCATGGTTGGCTTGATTATGATTGGGTCGATCATGGTTGGGTTGATCGTGGTGGGTTGACCATCATGGGTTGATCTTCAGGAGTTGGTCATGGTTGGGTTGACCATGGTTGGGTTGATCGTGATGGGTTGATCACAGTTGGGTTGACCATGATGAGTTGACCATGGTCAATTGATCATGGTTGGGTTGATCTTCATGGGTTGATCTTCAGGAGTTGACCATGGTTGGGTTGACCATGATGGGTTGACCGTGATAGATTAACCTTCATGAGCTGACCATGGTTGGGTTGATCTTTGTCAGTTGACCATAGTTGGGTTGACCATGGTCGGGTTGACCTTCATGACCATGCTTGACCATGGTTGGCTTGACCATGGTTGGCTTGATCTTCATGACCATGGTTGACCATGGTTGGCTTGATCTTCATGAGTTGACCACGATGAGTTGACCATGGTTGGGTTGACCATGATGAGCGTGACCATGTTTGAGTTGACCGTGATGGGTTGATCTTCATGAGTTGACCATGGTTGAGTTGACCATGGTTGGGTTGACCATGGTTGGGTTGACCGTGGTGGGTTGACCTTCATGAGCTGACCATGGTTGGGTTGACCATGGTTGGGTTGACCATGGTGGGTTGACCTTCATGAGCTGACCATGGTTGGGTTGACCATGGTTGGGTTGACCATGGTTGGGTTGACCTTCATGAGCTGACCATGGTTGGGTTGACCACAATGGCTCAACCACCCTTGTCTTGACCATGGTGACCCCTGGGTTCTCCTCATGGCCACATCTCCATGCCATGATTGGTCCTGGTGGCCATGGGGACGTCCCCACCTCCATGTTGGATCCTGGTGGCCTTGGGGACATCCCCACCTCCATGATTGTGGCCATGGGGACATCTCCACCTCCACCATTGGTTCTGGTGGCCTTGGGGACATCCCCACCTCCATGATTGGTCCTGGTGGCCATGGGGACATCCCCACCTCCACCATTGGATCCTGGTGACCTTGGGGACATCCCCACCTCCATGATTGGTTCTGGTGGCCATGGGGACATCCCCACCTCCGCCATTGGTCCTGGTGGCCTTGGGGACATCCCCACCTCCACCATTGGGTCCTGGTGGCCATGGGGACATCCTCACCTCCACCATTGGGTCCTGGTGGCCTTGGGGACATCCCCACCTCCACCATTGGATCCTGGTGGCCTTGGGGACATCCCCACCTCCATGATGGATCCTGGTGGCCATGGGGGACATCCCCACCTCCATGTTGGGTCCTGGTGGCCATGGGGACATCCCCACCTCCATGATTGGTCCTGGTGGCCTTGGGGACATCCCCACCTCCACCATTGGTCCTGGTGGCCATGGGGACATCCCCACCTCCACGTTGGGTCCTGGTGGCCTTGGGGACATCCCCACCTCCACCATTGGATCCTGGTGGCCTTGGGGACATCCCCACCTCCATGTTGGATCCTGGTGGCCATGGGGACGTCCCCACCTCCACCATTGGATCCTGGTGGCCATGGGGACATCCCCACCTCCACCATTGAATCCTGGTGGCCATGGGGACGTCCCCACCTCCATGTTGGGTCCTGGTGGCCATGGGGACATCCCCACCTCCATGATTGGTCCTGGTGGCCTTGGGGACATCCCCACCTCCACCATTGGGTCCTGGTGGCCATGGGGACGTCCCCACCTCCATGATTGGTCCTGGTGGCCATGGGGACATCCCCACCTCCATGATTGGTCCTGGTGGCCATGGGGACATCCCCACCTCCATGATTGGTCCTGGTGGCCTTGGGGACATCCCCACCTCCACCATTGGGTCCTGGTGGCCTTGGGGACGTCCCCACCTCCATGATTGGTCCTGGTGGCCATGGGGACATCCCCACCTCCACCATTGGATCCTGGTGGCCTTGGGGACATCCCCACCTCCATGATTGGTCCTGGTGGCCATGGGGGACATCCCCACCTCCATGTTGGTTCCTGGTGGCCATGGGGACGTCCCCACCTCCACCATTGGGTTCTGGTGGCCATGGGGACATCTCCACCTCCATGTTGGATCCTGGTGGCCATGGGGACATCCCCACCTCCACCATTGGTCCTGGTGGCCTTGGGGACATCCCCACCTCCATGATTGTGGCCATGGGGACATCCCCACCTCCACCATTGGATCCTGGTGGCCATGGGGACATCCCCACCTCAATGATTGGTTCTGGTGGCCATGGGGACATCCCCACCTCCATGATTGTGGCCATGGGGACATCCCCACCTCCATGATTGGTCCTGGTGGCCATGGGGACATCCCCACCTCCATGATTGGTCCTGGTGGCCATGGGGACATCCCCACCTCCACCATTGGTCCTGGTGGCCATGGGGACATCCCCACCTCCACCATTGGTCCTGGTGGCCTTGGGGACATCCCCACCTCCATGATTGGTCCTGGTGGCCATGGGGACATCCCCACCTCCATGATTGGTCCTGGTGGCCATGGGGACATCCCCACCTCCATGATTGGGTCCTGGTGGCCTTGGGGACATCTCCACCTCCATGATTGGTCCTGGTGGCCTTGGGGACATCCCCACCTCCATGTTGGATCCTGGTGGCCTTGGGGACATCCCCACCTCCACCATTGGGTCCTGGTGGCCTTGGGGACATCCCCACCTCCACCATTGGATCCTGGTGGCCATGGGGACGTCCCCACCTCCCGATGTCCCCCAGGTACGCCAGCCTCTATTTCTGCTGCGCCATCGAGGGCCAGGACAACGAGCTGATCACGCTGGAGCTCATCCACCGCTACGTGGAGCTGCTGGACAAGTACTTCGGCAGCGTGAGTGGGGACACGGCCCGGGGGGACACCCCGGGGACACCGTGGGGACATCCTGGGGACACCAGGAACATCTCAGGGACACCTCGGGGACATCCTGGGGACATCCTGGGGACATCCTGGGGACACCAGGAACATCTCAGGGACATCAGGGACACCTCAGGGACATCCTGGGGACACCAGGAACATCTCAGGGGAGATCCCGGGGTCGCCAGGGACACTGGAAACATCTCAGGGACATCCTGGGGACATCAGGGACACGTCAGGGTCACCAGAAACATCTCAGGGACATCCTGGGGGCACCAGGGACATCTCAGGGACATCAAAAAACATCTCAGGGTCATCAGGGCCACCTCGGGGTCACCAGGAACATCTCAAGGGCACCAGGGACATCTCAAGGACATTGGGGACACCTCAGGGACATCAGGGTCACATCAGGGCCACCTCAGGGACATCTCAAGGACATTGGAGACATCTCAGGGACATCCTGGGGTCACCAGGAACATCTCAAGGGCATCAGGGTCACATCAGGGTCACCTCAGGGCCACCAGGAACATCTCAAGGGCATCAGGGTCACCTCAGGGCCACCAGGAACATCTCAAGGGCATCAGGGTCACATCAGGGGACACCTCAGGGCCAGCAGGAACATCTCAAGGACATCAGGGTCACCTCAGGGACACCAGGGCCACCTCAGGGTCACCAGGAACATCTCAAGGACATTGGGGACATCTCAGGGACATCCTGGGGTCACCAGGGCCACCTCAGGGTCACCAGGGACACCTCAGGGACATCCTGGGGTCATCAGGGGCACCCCAGAGACATCAGGGCCACCTCAGGGTCACCTCAGGGTCACCAGAAACATCTCAAGGACATCGAGGACACCTCAGGGCCACCTCAGGGCCAGCAGGAACATCTCAAGGACATCGGGGACACCTCAGGGTCACCAGGGCCACCTCAGGGTCACCAGAAATATCTCAAGGACATTGGGGACACCTCAGGGACATCAGGGACACCTCAGGGTCACCAGGAACATCTCAAGTACATCAGGGCCACCTCAGGGCCACTTCAGGGTCACCTCATGGTCACCAGGAACATCTCAAGGACATTGGGGCCACCTCAGGGCCACCAGGGCCACCTCAGGGCCACCTCAGGGCCACCAGGAACATCTCAAGTACACCAGGGCCACCAGGGCCACCTCATGGTCACCAGGAACATCTCAAGGATATCGGGGCCACCTCAGGGACATCAGGGTCACATCAGGGACACCAGGAACATCTCAAGGACATCAGGGTCACATCAGGGACACCTCAGGGACACCAGGAACATCTCAAGTACATCAGGGCCACCTCAGGACCACCTCAGGGTCACCAGGGCCACCTCAGGGCCAGCAGGAACATCTCAAGGACATTGGGGCCACCTCAGGGTCACCTCAGGGACACCAGGGCCACCTCAGGGTCACCAGGAACATCTCAAGGATATCGGGGACACCTCAGGGACATCAGGGCCACCTCAGGGTCACCAGAAACATCTCAAGGACATCGAGGACACCTCAGGGTCACCAGGGCCACCTCAGGTTCACCCCAGAGACATCAGGGCCACCTCAGGGCCACCAGAAACATCTCAAGGACATCAGGGACACCTCAGGGCCACCAGGAACATCTAAAGGATATCGGGGACACGTCAGGGACATCAGGGCCACCTCAGGGTCACCAGAAATATCTCAAGGACATTGGGGACACATCAGGGACATCAGGGTCACATCAGGGTCACCTCAGGGTCACCAGGAACATCTCAAGGACATCAGGGTCACCTCAGGGCCACCAGAAACATCTCAAGGACATCAGGGTCACATCAGGGCCACCTCAGGGCCACCAGGGCCACCTCAGGGTCACCAGGAACATCTCAAGGATATTGGGGCCACCTCAGGGACATCGGGGCCACCTCAGGGTCACCAGGAACATCTCAAGGATATTGGGGCCACCTCAGGGACATCGGGGCCACCTCAGGGTCACCAGGAACATCTCAGGGTCACCAGAAACATCTCAAGGATATCGGGGCCACCTCAGGGACATCAGGGCCACCTCAGGGCCACCAGGGCCACCTCAGGGCCACCTCAGGGCCACCTCAGGGCCACCCCAAGTTCCCTGGAAGGCCCCGGGTGGCGCCAGGAGCCCGCGGTGTCCCGGTGCCGCAGGTCTGTGAGCTGGACATCATCTTCAACTTCGAGAAGGCGTACTTCATCCTGGACGAGTTCGTGATGGGCGGCGAGATCCAGGACACCTCCAAGAAAAGCGTCCTCAAGGCCATCGAGCAGGCGGACCTGCTGCAGGAGGTGGGGACGGCCTGGAAATCACCCAAAAAAACCCAAAAAATCCCCCCAAAAAATCCCCCCAAAAAATCACAAAAAATCCCCCCCAAAAATCCCAAAAAATCCCCCCCAAAAATCCCAAAAAACCCCCCCGAAAATCACAAAAAATCCTCCCCAAAAATCACAAAAAATCCCCCCCCAAAAATCACAAAAAATTAAAAAAAAAAAAAAATCCCCCAAAAAATCCAGAAAAAAATCCCCAAAAAATCCCCCAAAAAATAATTAAAAAAAAACAAAAAAAAAAAAAAAAAATCCCCCCCAAAAATCCCAAGAAATCCCCAAAAAACCCAAAAAAATCCCCCCAAAAATCCCAAAAAATCTCCCCCAAAAATCCCAAAAAAATCCCCTCCAAAATCACAAAAAATTAAAAAAAAAATCCCAAAAAATTAAAAAAAAACCAAACCAAAACAAAAAATCCCCCCCAAAAAATAAAAAAAAATCCCTTAAAAAAATGTCCCCCAAAAATCCCAAAAAATCCCCTAAAAAATCCTGAAAAAAACCAAAAAATCCCCCCAAAAATCCCAAAAAATCCCCAAAAATCCCCCCCCCCAAAAAAAAAAATCCCGAAAAATTTTTTAAAAATCCCAAAAAATCCCCCCCCAAAAAATCCCCCCCAAAAATCCCCAAAAAAATCCCCAAAAATGCCCCCAAAAAAATCCCCCCCAAAAATCCCAAAAAATCCCCCCCAAAAATCCCCCCAAAAAAACCCAAAAAATTAAAACAAAACAAAACAAAAAATCCCCCCCAAAAATCCACTGGGAGGGGTTGGAGAAGCCAAAAATCCACGGGGAGCTGCTGCAGGAGGTGGGGGCGGCCCGGAAATCACCCAAAAAAACCCGAAAAATCCCAAAAAAATCCCCCCCAAAAATCCCAAAAAATCCCCCCAAAAATCACAAAAAATCCTCCCCAAAAATCACAAAAAATCCCCCCAAAAATCACAAAAAATCCCCCCCAAAAATCACAAAAAATCCCCCCCCAAAAATCACAAAAAATTAAAAAAAAAAAAAAATCCCCCAAAAAATCCAGAAAAAAATCCCCAAAAAATCTCCCAAAAAATAATTAAAAAAAAAAAAACAAAAAAAACAAAAAATCCCCCCCAAAAATCCCAAGAAATCCCCAAAAAACCCAAAAAAATCCCCCCAAAAATCCCAAAAAATCTCCCCCAAAAATCCCAAAAAATCCCCCCCCAAAAATCCCAAAAAATTAAAAAAAAAAAATCCCAAAAAATTAAAAAAAAACCAAACCAAAACAAAAAATCCCCCCCAAAAAATAAAAAAAAATCCCTTAAAAAAATGTCCCCCAAAAATCCCAAAAAATCCCCTAAAAAATCCTGAAAAAAACCAAAAAATCCCCCCAAAAATCCCAAAAAATCCCCCCCAAAAATTTAAAAAAAACCAAACAAAAAAAAAAATCCCCAAAAATCCCCCCCCCCAAAAAAAAAAAATCCCGAAAAATTTTTCAAAAATCCCAAAAAATCCCCCCCCAAAAAAATCCCCCCCAAAAATCCCCAAAAAAATCCCAAAAAAATCCCCAAAAATGCCCCCCAAAAAATCCCCCCCCCAAAAATCACAAAAAAAACCGCAAAAAATTTAAAAAAACCCCCAAAAATTAAAAAAAATCCCAAAAAATCCCCCCCCAAAATCCCCTAAAAAAATCCCCCCAAAAAATCCAAAAAAATCCCCCCCAAAAATCCCAAAAAATCCCCCCCCCAAAATCCCAAAAAATCCTCCCCAAAAATCACAAAAAATCCCCCCGAAAATCACAAAAAATCCCCCCCCCAAAATCCCAAAAAATCCTCCCCAAAAATCACAAAAAATCCCCCCGAAAATCACAAAAAAAATCCTCCCCGAAAATCACAAAAAAATCCCCCCCAAAAATCCCAAAAAATCCCCTCGAAAATCACAAAAAAATCCCCCCAAAAAATCCAAAAAAATCCCCCCAAAAATCACAAAAAATCCCCCCCAAAATCCCCTAAAAAAATCCCCCCAAAAAATCCAAAAAAATCCCCCCCAAAAATCACAAAAAATCCCCCCAAAAATCACAAAAAAATCCCCCCCAAAAATCACAAAAAATCCCCCCCCAAAATCACAAAAAATCCCCCCCGAAAATCACAAAAAATCCCCCCAAAAAATCCAAAAAAATCCCCCCCAAAAATCCCAAAAAATCCTCCCCGAAAATCACAAAAAATCCCCCCCAAAAAATCCCAAAAAATCCCCCAAAAAATCCCTGCAAAAATCCCAAAAAATCCACCAGGAAGGGTTGGGGACACCCCAAAATCCATGGGGGACCTTGTAGGATCATGGTGGCCCCAAAAATCCACTGGGAGGGGGTTGGGGACACCCCCAAAAATGCCCAAAAATCCATGGGGACACCCCAAAATTCATGGGGACACCCCAAAATTCATGGGGACACCCCAAAATTCATGGGAGGTTCTTGTGGGGTCGTGGTGGCCCCAGAAATCCACGGGCAGGGGGGCAGAGACCCCCCCAAACTGGGATGGACCCCCCCAAACTGGGATGGACCCCCCTAAACTGGGATGGACCCCCCCAAACTGGGATGGACCCCGCCCAAACTGGGATGGACCCCCCCAAACTGGGATGGACCCCCCCTAAACTGGAATGGACCCCCCCCAGCTGGGATGGACCCCCCCAAACTGGGATGGACCCCCCCCGAAACTGGGATGGACCCGCCCAAACTGGGATGGACCCCCCTAAACTGGGATGGACCACCCCAAACTGGGATGGACCCCCCTAAACTGGGATGGACCCCCCCAAACTGGGATGGACCCCCCTAAACTGGGATGGACCCCCCCAAACTGGGATGGACCCACCCAAACTGGGATGGACCCACCCAAACTGGGATGGACCCCCCTAAACTGGGATGGACCCGCCCAAACTGGGATGGACCCGCCCAAACTGGGATGGACCCCCCCCAAACTGGGATGGACCCGCCCAAACTGGGACCAAACCCCCCCAACTGGTTTGAACCCCCCCCAAACTGGTTTGAGCCCCCCAAACTGGGATGGACCCCCGTCAAACTGGTTTGAAACTCCCCCCAAACTGGTTTGGAGCCCCCCCAAACTGGTTTTGAACCCCCCCAAAGTGGTTTGACCCCCCCTAAACTGGTTTGAACCCCCCCAAACTGGGTTTGGAGCCCCCCCAAACTGGTTTGAGCCCCCCCAAACCGGTTTGGAGCCCCCCCCCGTTTTGCTGCAGAGCTCGGGGGGGCCCCTCGGGCGCTGCAGGGAAATGAGTCACAGCTGCGGTGGCACCGCTGGCACTGTCACCTCCTGTGCCACCCCCCTCCCTGTGCCACCCCCAACATGTGACACCCCCCCCGAACATGTGACACCCCCCCGAACATGTGACACCCCCACCGTGTGACACCCCCCCGAACATGTGACACCCCCCACCGTGTCACCTCCTGTGTCACCTCCTGTGCCACCCCCCTCCGTGTGACACCCCCCCCGTGTGACACCCCCTGAACATGTGACACCCCCACTGTCACCTCCTGTGCCACCCCCAGCCTGTGACACCCCCACCGTGTGACACCCCCACCGTGTGACACCCCCCCGAACATGTGACACCCCCACCGTGTCACCTCCTGTGCCACCTCCTGTGCCACCCCCACCGTGTGACACCCCCTGAACGTGTGACACCCCCCGAACATGTGACACCCCCACCCCCCCAGTGTCACCCACCCTGTGCCACCCCCCTCCGTGTGACACCCCCCCAAACATGTGACACCCACCCCGTGTCACCACCTGTGCCACCCCCACTGTGACACCCCCCGAACATGTGACACCCCCCACCGTGTGCCACCCCCAGCCCCCCAAACAGGTGATGTCACCAATGTCACCTCCTGTGCCACCCCCACCCCTGTGCCACCCCCACTGTGACACCCCCCCGAACATGTGACACCCCCCGAACATGTGACACCCCCCCCCCCCGTGTCACCTCCTGTGCCACCCCCACCCTGTGCCACCCCCACCCTGTGACACCCCCTGAACATGTGACACCCCCCCCCGAATATGTGACACCCACCCTGTGCCACCCCCCGAACATGGGACACCCCCCACCTTGTGACACCCCCACCATGTGACACCCCCTGAACATGTGACACCCCCCAAACATGTGACACCCACCCTGTGACACCCCCCACCGTGTGACACCCCCCGAACATGTGACACCCCCACCCCCCAAACAAGTGACGTCACCAGTGTCACCCCCCCCGTGTCACCTCCTGTGCCACCCCCACCCCCCAAACAGGTGACGTCACCAGTGTCACCCCCGCTGTGTCACCTCCCCTGTGTCACCTCCCCTTTGTCCCCGCCCCTTTTCCCCCCCCAAATTTTGGGGTGTGTCCCTCCCTTTTCCCCCCAAATTTTGGGGTCATTCCCCCCCAATTTTAGGGTTGGTTCCCCCCTTTTCCCCCCCAAAATTTTGGGGTTCAGTCCCCCCCTTTTCCCCCCCAAAATTTTGGGATGGTGTTCCCCCAAATCCTGGGGTCGCTTCCCCCTTTATTCCCCCCAACTTTTGGGTCTTTCCCCCCAAATTTTAAAGCCCAACCTCCCCAGATTTTGGTGTCTTTCCCCCCAAATTTTGGGGTTTTTCCCCCAAATTTTAAGGCCCAACCCCCCCAGATTTTGGTGTCTTTCCCCCCAAATTTTTGGGATCTTTCCCCCCAAAATTTTAAGGCCCAACCCCCCCAGATTTTGGGATCTTCCCCCCCAAATTTTTGGGTCTTTCCCCCCAAATTTTAAGGTCCAACCCCCCCAAATTTTGGGGTTTTTCCCCCCAGATTTTGGGATCCAACCTCTCCCAAATTTTGGGGTTTTTCCCCCAAATTTTGGGATCTTTCCCCCCCCAAATTTTGGGGTTCTCCCCCATTCCCCCCCCTCCCCAAATTTAACCCCTTCTTTTCCCCCCCCCAGGAGGACGAATCCCCCCGGAGCGTCCTGGAGGAAATGGGGCTGGCGTAGCCCCCCCCGAAACCCCCCCCAAAATTTTTGGGGACCCCCCCGAAATTTTGGAACCCCCCCCAAATTTTTGGGGACCCCCATGGGACCAAATCCCAGCCTGGAGAAAAACGGGGGGAGGGAAGGGACGCCCCCCCCTATGGCCCCCCCCAAATTGTAAATATATCTATAAAGGGGGAGGGGGGGGTCCCCAAAAATCTTTGGGGTCCCCAAAAATCTTTGGGGTCCCCAGATTTATTTTGGGGGGGGGGGTTCCCCAATTTTTTTAGGGTGGGGGTCCCCAAATTTGGGACTTTTCCCCCCCCAAATTTCCCATATTCGGAGGGGATTCCTTTGAAGGTTCCCCCACCCCGATTTTTTTGGGGATCCCCCCCCTCCAAAAAAAAATTTTTTTGGGGACCCCCCCCCCAAATTTTTAGGGACCCCCCCCCCCCTCAATGATGGGACCACGGAGCCAAAAAAAAAAAGAGGAAAAAAATTTAAAAATTTGGAATAAAATCTGTGGAGATTGGAGCTGAGCTTGGTGATTTTGGGGGGGTTTAAAAATGGGATTTTGGGGGGGCCCATTTTGCTCCTTTTCGGGGTTATTTTATCCTTTTTTGGGTCATTTTGTCATTTTTGGGGTTATTTTATCATTTTCGGGGTTATTTCATGTTTTTGTGGGTTATTTTATCCTTTTTTGGGGTTTTTTTAAAATCACATTTTGGGGTTATTTTACCCCGTTTTGGGAGTTATTTTGCTCCTTTTTTGGGGTTATTTTATCCTTTTTAGGGGCATTTTGTAATTTTTTGGGGTTATTTTATCTTTTTTTGGGTTATTTTATCATTTTGGGTTTTTTTTTTTACCCCATTTTTGGGGTCATTTATTCCCTTTTTGGGGTCATTTATTCCATTTTTGGGTTCATTTCTTCCATTTTTGGGTTCATTTCTTCCCTTTTTGGGTTCATTTCTTCTCTTTTTTAGGGTCATTAATTCTCCTTTTGGGTTCATTAATTCTCTTTTCGGGTTCATTTATTCCCTTTTTGGGTTCATTTATTCCCTTTTTAGGGTCATTTATTCCCTTTTGGGTTCATTAATTCTTATTTTGGGGTCATTTCTTCCCTTTTTTGGGTCCATTTATTCCCTTTTTGGGTTCATTTATTCTCTTTTTGGTGTCATTTATTCCCATTTTTGGGGTAACTTATTCCCTTTTTGGGTTCATTTATTCCCTTTTTGGGTTCATTCCTTCTCTTTTTTTGGGTTCATTAATTCTCTTTTCGGGTTCATTTATTGCCTTTTTGGGGTCATTTATTCCCTTTTGGGTTCATTAATTCCCTTTTCAGGTTCATTTATTCCATTTTTGGGGTCATTAATTCTCTTTTTGGTGTCATTTATTCCCATTTTTGGGGTAACTTATTCCCTTTTTGGGTTCATTTATTTCCATTTGGGTTCATTAATTCTTATTTTGGGGTCATTTATTCCATTTTTGGGTCCATTTCTTCCCTTTTTGGGGCCGTTTTACCCCTGGGGGGGCAGGAGGAGCCCCCACCCCCCCAAAAAACGGGAGGAACTCGTACTAAAATAGTCGCTTTTATTCGTTAGCAAAATTAGTGATTGGGGGCTTATTTACAGAGAACCCCCCCGCGGGGAACTGGGAGGGACTGGGAGGGAACTGGGAGGGAACTGGGAATGAACTGGGATGGACTGGGATAGACTGGGATAGACTGGGATGGACTGGGAGGGACTGGGATGGACTGGGAGAGAACTGGGACAAACTGGGAGGGACTGGGATGGACTGGGAATGAACTGGGAGAGACTGGGAGAGACTGGGGGGGACTGGGAGGGAACTGGGAGGGACTGGGAATGAACTGGGATAAACTGGGAGGGACTGGGAGAGACTGGGATGGACTGGGAGGGAACTGGGACAAACTGGGAGGGACTGGGATGGACTGGGATAGAGTGGGATGGACTGGGAGGGAACTGGGAGAGACTGGGAGGAACTGGGAGGGACTGGGAGGGGATTGGGTTATACTGGGAGGGACTGGGAGAGACTGGGATGGACTGGGAATGAACTGGGATGGAACTGGGAGGGACTGGGATGGACTGGGAGGGACTGGGAATGAACTGGGAGGGAACTGGGAGGGAACTGGGACAAACTGGGAGGGACTGGGAGGGAACTGGGAGGGACTGGGGGGAAACTGGGATGGACTGGGAGGGGATTGGATTATACTGGGAGGGATTGGGTTATATGGGAGGGACTGGGATGGACTGGGAGAGACTGGGAGGGACTGGGAATGAACTGGGATGGACTGGGAGGGGTCTGGAGCTGGAACTGGGAGGGAACTGGGGCCCAACGGTGACAAACTGGGAGCGGGACTGGGACAGAACTGGGCTTAACTGGGAGGGAGCAGGAACCGGAACCATGAGACCGGGACGAGGGGTGGGAACTCCACAACCAGAACTGGGACAAACTGGGACGAACTGGGACAAACTGGGAGGGGCCAACGCACCCGAGCACGGATGGGGGGGGGAGGGGAAGGGGTGGGGGAGGGGGGAGGGGGGGGTTGGGGTTTGTTTTATTTTATTTTTTTTTTATTTTGGTGGGGGGCGGGGAACCCCCCCCAAAACTCAGGGGTACCCGCGGGGGGGGCTCCCCAAAACCCTCTCCAGGAATTTCTGCACCTGGCGCTCCCTCAGCGGGGCCGGGGGGCGCCGGGGCAGGAAAGTCCTGGCCGGGCTCGGCTCCGGCGGCCGCGCCCTGGCTTTGGGCGGCTTCGGCAGCGCCGGCGGCGGCGTCTCCTCATCCTCATCCTCATCCTCATCATCATCATCGCCACCCCCGGGCGGCGCCGCCGCCACGGCCGCCAGGGCCATGCCCGTGGCCGCCGCCGCCGCCTCCTCCTCCTCCTTGCGCTTCTGCTCCACGTCGTGGATGATGTCCACCACGTCGTCGGCCGGCAGGTGCAGCCTGCTGGACAGCTCGATCAGTTGGTCGATGGTGCCGGGGTCCAGCTCGTCCACCTCGGCCGGGTCCTGCGGCGACGCCTCCTCCGAATCGCCGGCGGCCGCCTCCGAGGATGACGATGATGACGGGGACGAAGGTGCCGCGATGCGGTTGCCCCGGTGGCCCCGCGCCGGGAGGATCTCGTTGTCCTCCAAGCCGCCGTTGCCGTCGAGGTCCCCGAAGCCGCTCCTGATCTTGAAGGCGCCGCCCAGGGCGTCGTTGGCCTTCGAGGCGGCCGAGTCCTCTTTGAGCTTGAAGCGCCGGTTGACCTTGAAGACCTCGTTGGCGTCGTTGGCGTCGTAGGCGCCCTTGTAGGCGTCGAGGTCGTTGAATCTCTCCTTGGGCTTGTAGGCGTCAAAGTCGTCGTTGAGGTCGTTGCCAAAAGCGAATCTGTCCTTGGTCCTGTAGGCCTGGTGGTCACCGAGGTCATCGCTGAGGTCAAATCTGTCCTTGGTCCTGTAGGCCTGGTGGTCACCAAGGTCATCGTTGAGGTCAAATCTGTCCCTGGTCCTGTAGGTTTGGTGGTCACCGAGGTCATCGTTGAGGTCAAACCTGTCCCTGGTCCTGTAGGTTTGGTGGCCATCGAGGTCATCGTTGAGGTCGTTGCCAAGGCTGAACCTGTCCTTGGTCTTGTAGGCACCAAGGTCATCGTTGAGGTCGTTGCTGAGGTCAAACCTGTCCTTGGTCCTGTAGGCCTGGTGGTCACTGAGGTCATCGTTGAGGTCAAACCTGTCCTTGGTCCTGTAGGCCTGGTGGTCACCGAGGTCATCGTTGAGGTCAAACCTGTCCTTGGTCCTGTAGGCCTGGTGGCCGCCGAGGTCATCGTTGAGGTCATCATTGAGGTCATCGCCGACACCAAACCTGTCCTTGCCCTTGCGGCCACCGAGGTCATCGTCGAGGTCCAGACCGAACCCATCCTTCCTCTTATAACCCCCAAACTCCTCACCGGCCTCATCCTCCTCTTCCTCACCGCCAAACCCATCCTTCCCATCCCCAAACCCTTCCTCCACCTCCTCCTCCTCCTCGGACCGTTTATCCTCGGCCACGGCGCCTCCGGGCCCTCTCAGCAGGTAGCGCAGCAGAAGATCCGAGGCCAGGTCGGCCAAACGCTCCTCCTCGGCCGCCGCCTTCCTCGCCGCCTGCGCCTGCCGCCGGCTCTCGGCCAGCTCCTGGTAGCGCCGCTCCAGCAGCCGATGCTCCAGGCTCTGCTGCTGCCGCAGCTGCCGCGAGCTCGCCCAGCCCAGCTCCCGCTCCCGCTCCCGGTCCCGCTGCCGGTCCCGCTTGGCCTCGGCGCGGAGCCGCCCCAGCTCCTGCAGCTCCTTCAGCACCTCGGAGCGCGGCGGCGGCGGCGGCGGCAGCGGGGAGCGCTTGGACACCGAGTGAGGGCCGGGGGTGGCGGCGGAGGCGGCGGCGCTCGGGGCGGTCCTGGGGGGTTGCGGGGTGGGCTGGGGGCGGCTCTGGACGAGGAGGGTGATGGAGAGGAGGAGGGCGGCGCTGCGGAGGGGGCGAGGAGGGGGCGCCATGGTGCCTGGGGGGGGGGAGATGGGGGAAAGAAAAGGGGGGGGTGAGAGCTGAAATTTGGGGTGGGGGGGAGGTCCCCAAGCACCGCCCCGGGTGACGTCATTGACCCCGCCCCACCTCGCGGCGTGGGGGTGTCCCCGCCCCATCCCATCCCCCATCCCCAGCGGGGGTTTTGTCACTCTGGGGTTCCCAAGGGACCCCCCCATGTCCCTCATGTCACCCCCCGTGTCCCCCCCCGTGTCCTCCCGAGGACCCCCAGGAACCCCCCCAGGAACCCCCCAGGGGGACACAGGTGTGAGCACACAGGTGTGAACACAGGTGTGAGCACACGGAACACGGGTGCAGGTGTGAACACACACAGAACACACACAAAACACACACAGAACACACAGGTGCAGGTGTGAGCACAGAGGTGTGAACACACAGAACACACACACACACAGGTGTGAGCACACGGAACACGGGTGCAGGTGTGAACACACACGGAACACACACAGAACACACAGGTGCAGGTGTGAGCACAGAGGTGTGAACACACAGGTGTGAGCACACAGAACACACACAAGTGTGAACACAGGGGTGTGAATGCTCAGGTGTGAACACACACAGAACACACAGAACACACACAGAACACACACGCACAGGTGAGAGCAGACACAGGTGTGAGCACACAGAACACACACACAGGTGTGAACACACGGGTGTGAGCACACACAGAACACACACACAGGTGTGCACCCCAGGGCACGGGGAATGCGCGCACACACACACACACAGAGGCGTGAGCACCTGGGGAACACCCACACGCACACACAGGTGACACACGCAGGGTGACACACTCATGGTGACACTCACAGGGTGACGCATGGTGACACACACGGGGTGACACACTCAGGGTGACACACAGAGGGTGACACACGCAGGGTGACACACTCATGGTGACACATCCCCAGGTGACACAAACACAGAGAACACACGCACAGGTGTGAGCACCTGGGGAACACTCACACACACACGTGACACACGCAGGGTGACACACGCAGGGTGACACACGCGGTCCCAGGCAATGAACACACACGGACAGGTGTGCACACACACACACACACAGAGAACACGCATGGAACACACAGGTGTGAATGCACAGGCGTGAACGCACCTGGAACACACACGGAAAACACACCTGGAGCACACCCACACACGCGTGTGAACACACCTGGGTCACACACACACACCTGGAGCACACCCACACACGCGTGTGAACACACCTGGGTCACACACACACACCTGGAGCACACCCACACACGCGTGTGAACACACCTGGGTCACGCCCACACGCCTGGGTGCACGCGCGCACGCGCGCACCGCGCGTGACCACGCCCACTCCCCGCGCGCGCGCGCGCGCCGAGCCCCCCACGTGCGCTCGCGCTCCCCCGCACGTGAGCGACCCCTCCCCCCCCCACCCCTCCCCCATCCTTCCCACTCCCCCCACGGCCACACCCACGCGGATCCCGCCCCTCCCCCTCCCCCCCCCTCTCGGGATCGCCCCCCACGCGCGCCCATCCCCCTCCCCCTCCCCCTCCCCCTCCCCGCGCGCCCACGCGCTCCTCGCACCCCTCCCCCCACCCCCACATTCCCGCCCCCTCCCCCACCCCCAAAAAAAACCCCCCATGGTGGAAGGGGGGGGGACACGACCCCACCCACCCCAAAACCCAAATGGGGAGGGGGCTCCTACCGGCTCCGGGGGGGTCTCGGCCGATCCGAGGGGGTCCCCCCCCCCTTTTTCCAGCCTGGGGGGGGGCGGTGCTCGGTGGGGGAGGGGCGCCAAAAATTGGTGGGGGGGGGTCTTGAAGAAAAGTGGGGGAGGGGTCTCCAAGCGGGGGAGGGGGGGACGGGAGGGGGGGTCCCGATAAGGGACGGGGGGGGGGAGGGGAGAGGGGGGGGGGGAGGGGGCTCAGGTGAAGGGGAGGGGTCGCGGTGAGAGAAGGGGGGAAGCGAGCGGGGGGGGGAGGGGGTCGCGGTGGTCTCGCCGCCGTCTCGCCCTTCAGCACCGCGGACAGCGCCGGCTCCGCCCCCTTTATACGCGCGGGGGCCCCACGTGGGGGGTCTCCGATGACGTCAATGGCCCATTCATAAAATCCGGCCGGGCCCGGGGAATTAAAAAAAAAAAAAAAAAAAAAAAAAAAAAAAGGGGTGGGGTCGTGGAGGAGGGGGGGGGAAAGGGGGGGGGGAACCTCGCGCATGCGCAGAGAGCCCCGCCGCGGAGGGATGAATGAACG